ATATTGAATCCAAAACTAGGTCATTATCGTCATCGACGAATACACGGATGAATTATTGTAATACAATAATAATATTAATAACTATAATAATATAGCTGGTTGTATTCTGCAGTACACGTAGCCCGTGGGTACAAGTTTATGCTTCGCACACCGAGGTCTGCTGCTATAATATAGTGAGGCGCGTCATGGTACACGACTCACCCATGCGATCGAACCCGGCAGTAGTCGTTTCTTTATTCGGAGGAATCACGGTTTGGTGAACCCTCATCCTCCGCGCCCTTTATAACGCAGACTGGAAAATCGCGGTTTGCCTCGTGGAAAATTGGTTTTTGCTGTTCTAATTAGCGATTTTGTGCGACGGATTGTCGAAAAAACGCAGATTTTTTCCCTCCGGTGAATATAATCGGTATGAAACGATTTTACTCGGGGACGACAAACAAAAAACAACAATCRAATAGTTTTCTAAAACTTTTTTTACAAACACTAATATATAATTCGCTGTCGAATTATAATGTCAAATAAACTTTGCCCGTATAATAATATCAATAAAATAATAACTGAACATTTAAAAATTTTTTTTTTAAAGGTACCCTTACACAAATTAACACATAACATTAGATACCGTAATCACCTCAACACGACTATAATATTTTATAACAGCCAACCGTGTGACCACATATATGATAATTTTAAATTGATTGTAAATGCCGAGCTAATTTATTTATTGTTCCAGTATTCCAATTTATCTTAGCCTAAATTCCCAATCAATCGATTGTTAATTTCTTGCACGTGTTTTAATTTATTAAATGTGCCTTTAAAAAAACCTAACCTTATAAGATATTATYTCATATTATTTTCTCATGATATATTTTATTATAATTTATGTGCCTATGTTATATGATGGAGGTACCTATACCTATATTAAAATCGTCATGACCCGTAAAGTGTTAATGATCCAACAGTCTAAGTTCAAACGTGTATACAATACGCATAAGTGCATAACCCGTCTTGTTAATGCTATTAATGCAGGATGTATATTGTATAATACAAAATGAAAGACAAAGAACAATATAGAATCATAAGTTAGGTACCTATATATATCATATATTTATTTCTTCCGTGGATGATCCGTACCTGATAATGTCACTCTAAATAAATAATTAGACCGTTCATATTATACGATACTTAATCGCAATCTAATCGTACGCAATCTCTCTCAAACACTAGACAAAACTATTTAATTGTATGAAACTATAAAAATCATATAATAAGAATTAAGAAGATTATGCAAAAACAATGTAATAGACAATTTAAATACTACGGCTATACCACTGTAGTAGGTGCTATACGCATATATGTATTGTTATACAATATAATAATAATTAATAGGTATGAATATACTTATTTAATTATTTTCGCGCTATGTATAAGCTAGCTGTCCCTAGGGCCTAGATACTAGATAGACTGTACGGTATATGTAGGTCTGAAATATTGTTCTAATAGTTCTATTCATTATACATATACGAGTCTAGACTAAGCCATACATATTAATTGGGTATAATTATTAATTTTAAATATTTGTCTATTACTTATATCAGTTAAATTATAATTTATAATATAATATCGTATAGCAGATTACATTGATATTGATTTAATTATAATTATTATTTTGTTTAAACTGTACCTAATAAAAATATAACATTTGAGTTAAGTAGGTGTTTTTTGAATTCACCACAAAATTTTGTTAATTTAAAAAAAAATACTAAGTATTATATTATGTATTATATACTATATATATTATATATTATACTATGTATTCTACCTATTAACTGATATTCAACAAAAATTATTGRGCCTAATTATATAACTAAGTGATATTTTTAATAGCTTCTGTTGCAAGACTAAATTTACTACGAAAAATGTAATCATGAACCAAATTCACATTTTCCTGAACATATCGTAATTATTAATTATACATATTAATGTTTTTAGAATTAGCTTATGCAAGACTTGACKACATGATAGAATAAAAAGCAAACACCTAAATATTATTGTTGTTAGCTAGGTTTATTCCGTATATTATTTATACCTATTTGAAACATATATCGCAGATTACAGGCCTTCGAACTTAGTCATATTTATACTTCTTCTGCGGCAAGACGAGTTATGCAATTATTTTAAACATTTCGAAGAATGGCTAGCTCAAAGAAAAAAATACTGCTTTATGAGTTCACACAGTTGCATTGCAGCAGCACGCGTAAAGGTAAACCTAGTTAATTAATACTTAACTTTATATATTACACGGTTTCGTGGGAAATATGAAATTCTAAACAGAAGCATTGAACTACATTAACAACTGTTAATATTTTAGCCGTTAAAATGCTGTGTGTACCGGCTGGTATAGATGTAGGTACCGTAAAAACTCAAATATTCGAATGTAAGTATCGATTATGTCATTTGTATTCTATACACCACAAAATACGAAYAGAAACAATTTAAAATCTAAAAAAAATATAATAATCAATCATATCTAAACAATTTTTAATACATTTATAATCTTTTTCTAAACGTCGCATAAAAAACAACACCCCGCAGTAACATTCACATACATCTCAAACATGCAGGGTTGTATATAAAATAAATAATTACACGAATAGTATGGTGTGAACAAAATATAATAGCAAAATAACAGTAAAAAGTCGTAAAGCAGAGTAGATAGGTAATATTGTTACTCACTTGATTAATATAGAGTACGAATGGATTGCAGACGTCCGACGACTGCGATGCGGCAAACACTGTGTGCGATATAAAATCTTTTCGCGGACGAAGGCTAATGCCTCTTATAGTCTCTATTATAAATACTGTAAATACCACCACCGTTGTCTTGCAGTGATGAGAACAATACTACAGTTTTAATTCTTTGCATATCTTATGTATACAGAGTGAATCGTTGCTCAACCCTCCCCCCCCTCCAACATTATTCCTTCATTAATGGATTTTTATTGAAATTTTGATTTTTGGAAATTTTAAGTACCTATACGTCTTAAAGATCATAATTTTAAACATTTAGATTTTTCGAATAGATAAAAATGTACAGTAAAAAAGTTTGATTCTCGTTTCAAAAAACAAATTTATATACCTATTGTGACAGGAAATTCCTTAAATTCCTTGAATTATTATAAATATAGTCCCTATAGTATGGACACCAAGATACCTACTTAAAAATTACATTGATCATGCATGGTGGAACCACTCTGTATATAATATACATTATACACATATCGCGTTAATGATGAACTGTAACTGCAGTTATTGCAGACTGTAGTATACATACACTACATACCTATTAATTATTATTTATTAGGTAGGTATATGTATACTTATATAATTATATATATATATTTGGTACACTTAGAAYCGCAGCTAGAGGATGTTCTCCGCAGCTGAATATAGATATTAAGATATTTGCAGCAAGTCTAGCTTGGTATTATACAAATAAAATGAAAACATAATTAACGATCCGGATCAAAAGAAAATATATAGGTATAGACGTATAGTATCTGTACAGGACTTGGTTCGTACACGTTCATATTGTTGGTATGAGTAGGTATCTATAATTATATAGATTAAAATATATTCTTATTTGATTAGGTGAAACGCATGTTTAGCTGTAACATTTGCATCGGACATTTGTTATTTGTAATCCGTTCAAGCGGTGTTGACCAGTTTCTCTCACATATTTTTATATTATTATACACGATTATATCTWKTACTAACCCGTCAAATAGGGGAGGTAAATATATAAATAACAAATTATAGTCATTTGAACATAATTCGAATTTTGTAAAATCTATTACCTAGTCGTTATTACAAAACATAGGTATACATGATATACATTACAAAATATTAATAATATATCTGAATTGCTTACCATCATTTTAAACTATTTTTTATCATATGCATTTTTTTATATTACAAAATACAATAGGTACCTATAATTATCTATTATATAATATGTAGCAAATATCGAAAAAAAATCATTTTATAGTTCTATACTGTTTTAATTTGTTGACAAATTACATTGTATGCCGTACCTATTTATTCTTTTATTAAATATACCGTTATTATTATTATTTACACATTTACTACTACTATTTTACAGGATGGTAATTTTGTGTAAGCACTATATTATGCGAATGAAACTGGTTCATTTTGCCCTGGATAGTTTAAGGGGAATAGATATGAGAAAGCCGAGAAAGGGTACTTTTGAGTGTAACTGATTCATGCTCCCCTCAAAGTATATACTTCGATTCACTTAGAAAAAACTCGATAACTCTTTCCATAAATCAGCACACACATTATTGTATATTTGGTGGCATTTGCAATTGTATTTAAAATTAATTATTTCACAAGTTGAACTTTTTTTTATAAATTTACTTTTATACTCAGGCTTAAGCTTGTGAGACTAAAATAATTTATGCGGTTAACCGTTAACCGTTATGTATTAATTATTATATAATTTATAAAATTTACAACTATTATCAAAATTTTCATAATCTATTTGGTGCAGAATCATTGTAAAATGTATTTTATATTCAACTTATATCGTTATTTACAAGTATTATAGGTACACGTATATAACTTTTTAGTTTATCTTCATTGTAGATTTTTTTTTTAATTTTATACCAAAATACTTAAATAATATTATTATATTATTGTTTATACTTACATATTTCTATTTTTACACACTTTTCTTAAGGTCGCTTTCACGTCTGTTTGTCTGTAATCAAATCTTGCGCGCTCGATTTGAGGMACTTTTTGACGATGAAAAATTCTGAAAATTGGTATAGACCTTGGTCTTGGATGACAATACAATAATCCGTTGTCATTTTGGGACACGGACCTCCAGGTAGG